GGGGGGGGGGGGTGGGGGCATGTGCAGGGGGGTAGGGGAGGCCAGGGGAAGTTCAAGGAGAAAAAAAAAGGAGACATATTTACTACTATTTGTAATACTTTAAACACACACACACACACACACACACACAAATGCCTTTGTCAAATTTTGTGAAGTACAGTGAGTGGCTATAGAGTCAAGCCTCAGACTGACCTGTGGCAGGGCCACAAACAAGTCCTAGCTTGGAGGGTGGAGCCCTCCTAGCATAATTAAGCTTGACCTTATAGTCTCCCTTGTTCCTAGGTAGCTAATGGGCTGTGGGAGGTGCAGCAAGTGCTGCCAAAACAGGGCTTGAGTAACAAAATAAATTTGAAACTCACAAGAATATTGTAAACATGTTGACCACTCCCCTAGTTTTGCTTTGTGTGCTCTGACTACAAAATAAAGCTTCAGCTGTCAGGCTTGGTCACTGTGTCCTCATCCAGGAACAAGTGAACCTACCTAGCCCCAACTGTATTCTCTTTGTGTTCTTTAAACCCTTCACTGCCCCTCCTCAGGTTCATCCCTGGCCATGCTGGACACGGATCAGTGAAGGTGTTAACATCATAGATATTTTTACGCTTAAAAATGTCAAATTTCGTGCCAAAAAAAGAGCATTTGTGGGAATTTTTAATTCATTGCTTTATTTTGAAAAAAAGTGCTGCTGAAAGTTATTATATACTTCAGGAAGCTTATGGTGAACATGCTCCATCTAAAGATACTTGTGAACGCTGGTTTAAATGCTTTAAAATTGATGATTTCGATGTGAAAGAAAAGAATGTCCAGGTCAACCGAAAAAGTGTGGAGACTGATAATTACAAGCATTATTGGATGAAGATATATGCCAAACTCAAAAATAACTTGCAGAAAGATTAAACGTTGCTCAGCAAACAATTTCTGATCATTTACAAGCAATGGGAAAGATTTTAAAAGAGGGAAAATGGGTGCCACATCAATCGAACAAAATACAAATGGAAAACCGAAAAGTCATCAGTAAAATGTTGTTTCAACGGCACAAAAGAAAGTCTTTTTTGCATTGAATTGTGACTGGCAATGAAAAGTGGATTTATTTTTGAGAATCCCTGCACAAAATAATCATGGGTTGATCCAGATCAACCAGCAACATTGACTGCAAGGCCAAATTGCTTCAGAAAGAAGACAATGCTCTGCTTTTGGTTGGGTCAGGAAGGTGTGGTGTATTATGAGCTTCTAACACCAGGTGAAACCTTTAATACTGATCGCTACTGACAACAAATAACCAATTTGAATCACTCTTTGATTGTAAAATGACCAGAATGGGCCAGAAGACACCACAAAGTAATTTTGCTTCATGATAATGCACCACCACATACTTCAAAACCAGTTAGACACGTTAAAAGATCTTGCCTGGGAAGTATTAACCCACCCGCCATATTCACCAGACCTTGCTCATTCAGGTTACCACTTGTTCCAATAGATGGCACACCCACTTTCTGACCAGCACTTCAAAACGTAAGAAGAAGTGGAAAATTAGGTCTCTGAATGGTTTGCCTCAAAGCAAGAAAAGTTCTATTGGGATGGTATCCACAAATTACCTGAAAGATGGGGAAAATGTGTAGCTAGAAATGGACATAACTTTGAATAAAGCACTTTTGATGTTTCTCTTGAAATTATCACGTTTTCTTTGATTACAAAATCCGCATTATTAACTGGTACAGCTAGTAAATTCTTGAAGACTTGTATTCCTTATTTATAAAATAGTGAAAATAATATAAAATTCAGAGATATTATGATGATTAAATAAAATAATGAATGGAAAGCACAGTGCTTAGAAAGAGGTAGTAAGAACACAAGTACTTAGAAAGAAGTAGTAAGTTCCTATCATATCTCAGTGAATGGCACTACTATTCATAAAGTAATCATAGCTAAAATTTGTTATTTATTTGTAAACATTGTTTCTTTACTCCTTATATCCAACTGGTGGCTAAATATTGATTCCAGCTCTAAAATATTTCCCAAATCTGCCCTTTACTCTTCATTTCTACTGCTTAACCTACTGCAAATCTCTTAACTGGATCTCTAATATTTTCTAATCTAGCCTTAGCAATGTGCCAGCTTCCAGACTCTCCTAAATCCACCCTGTCATCTGATAGCAATGCTCTGATGGATGTCAGCTCCCATCTCCAGCTTCCCCTCATGCCACTGCTCCATAAACTCCACTGAAGCTCCCTGCATTCTCTAAGTTGAGGCAATTGGATAAACACATGAGACAAAGTCAAATTCTGTCACATAACATCACCTTTGCTAGGACCAAGACAAGTAGAGCCATGTGGCACAGTGGGAAATCATGGACTTTGGCATTAAATAAATTGCAGTTCCACTTCTGGCTCAGTTACTTCACTGTTTTTGTAATTTGGAGTAAGTAATTCAGACTCTCAAAGTCTGTTTCCAGATTTTTAAAACAGGGATAAATAATACATATATTTAGTGTTGTTATAAGGAACTAGAGGCCTGGTGCACAAAAATTTGTGCACTTGGGGGTGTCCCTCAGCCCAGCCTGTGCCCTCTCACAGTCTGGGGACCCTCGGGGGATGAACACCTGCTGGCTTAGGCCCGCTCCCTGGGGGACTGGGCCTAGGCTGGCAGTCAGACATCCCTCTGGCAGCCCGGGAGCCCTCAGGGAATGTACCGGATTGTGAGAGGGATGTCCGACTGCTGGTTTATTAGGCCTAAACCAGCAGTCAGACATCCCCGGAGGGGTCCTGGATTGGAGAGGGTGCAGGCTGGGCTGAGAGGACTGCCCCTCATAGACGAATTTCATGCAC